TACGCGCGAGGAGAGAGAGAGAGAGAGAGAGAGAGAGAGAGAGAGAGAGAGAGAGAGAGAGAGAGAAAGAGAGAGATGTGGGATGGACGCGCGCTAACTCCTCCGTCTGTTTACGCGATGGCGCTTTCCGCGAGGATCGCTTTGATGTAGAGAAAGTTTGCCGAGTTAACAGACGACCGATCCGTCCGTTTTGTTTTAATATTTGATTAGAGTATGATCGGGGTGGTATTTGCACTAGTGTGAGATGAAAATTCAGTTTTCCAAGTTTTTTTTTTTACATGGGTTTGTATTCCTTTTTTCTTTTCTTTCTTTCTTTCTTTCTTATTCCCTTTTTCCCGCGTTGCGTTTCTTTCAAGGCGTTTAATTAATACGATAATACGATGTTTGAGATGTATCGATTCATTCTGAATTTCATTGTTTTCGAATATTTCGTATCCTTCGAGATTCTGTTCTTGTTTCGCGATTTATTAAAGTATTTAATAAGTAGTGTTAGTAGAAGAAGGTTGTTATCAGTATGAATTTTATCGAAGAGTAATGAGGACAGTGTGTTTGGTTACAGGCACAAGAGCGGGCTACATCAGCTGACGGATTTTATCGGGGTGGAAACGAACAAGAAACGAAAGCGACGAACTTCGTTCACCCCCCAGGCTTTGGAATTGTTAAACGCTCACTTCGACAGAAATACTCATCCCAATGGTAAGTTTTCCTGTCATTTGTCTTTCTTACACGATACAATTCTGAAATTCGAAGCAATCTTCAAGAAAGGAAAAAGCTTGTTTTACTTTAAACGTTTCTAATAAGAAAAATATTTTGAAAGAATCGTTACATATTTAATATGCGTGTTAAATACGCATTCGAGAAGGAGGAAAAAATAAAATTTGGAGATAAATTGTCCTTTAAGATCTCAATTTGACTAACTGTTTTCTGCGTTCATTTCAGGTAACGAAATCACGAACTTGGCGCAACGCCTCGGATACGATCGAGAAGTGATCAGGATTTGGTTCTGTAACAAGAGGCAATCCTTGAAAAACGCGGTGAGACTGATGTCGAAGGACGTTGTGTAAAAGTGCTAGGACAAGATTGGTCGCGAATGGAACCAGTGAGCAAATATAATTAAAAAAAAAAAGAATGAAAATAAGAAGCTTTAAGGACTCGAATTTTACGTTGCACGAGTTGAATTCGGCGAGATTCGAATAGCGTTTCATTCATCGATCATCTTCGACGAAACCAGGGACGGATCGATGAATAATCGCGTGAACAGGAATTTCAAACAACGGGGGACAAAGAGAGAAAGAAGTAACAGCGAATCTCGGCGTCGCGTTAATAAAATAATTCAGAGAAATTAGCGCGTTCCGGAGGAATCGCTTTAAAAAGTCATGCACCGATACCCGTCGAGCCATGAATTTTTAAAGGCGTGCTCTCGACGATCGATGTAAAGATCATCATTGTGATTGCAGGCGTATACGAGACCTATTCTGTAAATAGTTTTAACCTACGGTTAATGTGATGTACAGGAGTCGAGCGTTTAACGTTGATAATTGCCTTAATCGCCATCGTCTTATCCGATATTTCGTTAAACGAAGAAAAAAAAAAAGAAAAAAAAATAAGAAATCGATTAAGAATTAAAAAGAATTTTATCGACCGTGAACCGAGTCAGTGCGAGTTTCCTATTGGCAGCCGGTAAGAAAGCGACTGACGATAATATAAATTCCTATGGGTGATACACGAAATATTATTGATTAACGATAAAATAGGAAACCTTTTAAATTTTAAAAAGATATAAATTGTTCGGGAAAGAATTCGCGAATTGAAAAAAGAAAATAAAAAAAAAAAAAAATTAACTCGTGTATCATTCGTATCAAGGGACGGAACACGATAAGACGTAAATCAAACAACAATTATCAAGTCGCGTCTCGGCTCGTGAAATTAGGATAAGTAATTCCGTTAAGTAATCGCACAGATAACGCTAGTTCGTGAAACGATCGAGAAGCTTCCAGCTACTGAGAATCGTCTGTCATTATGAAATCAACAGACGAAGCACAAAAATCGTGGATCGTACGGAAAATATGATCGAGCTTTGATAAACTCGTTCGAAGAGTTTGAATGATATTTTTCGTACGAGATCCCATCGAGAGCCATGAGATCGAGGAACGGACCGGTGTGGTTCGATCCTTTCGCACACAGGAAAGAACATAGTTGAAGCAACGAGAACAGCAAACAGTAACAATACCGATAACGAACAATAACAAACAGCAACAACAGTACCGTCACGTTCACATGCCATACACAGCGGGATACAATTCAGTTGTTCACACAGGAAATAGAAACGGAAAAGTTTTGACAGTGACCGCCGCTATCGTTTATGACGATCCATCATCCAACTCTTTTTATTTTCATTCTTACCGGTGAAACAACCACTCGTTTACAGGCTTCGTTAGGGAAAAAGAAAAAAAGAAAAAAAGAAAAGAAAGATGTTTCAACCATATTGTTCTCTGGGTGTGCTCGTCTGTATAAATTATACGCGTGTATTTTAGATAAAAAAGAAGAAAAAAAAATTGATCGAAAGGGAAAAGCAAAAAGTCACGAGGGAAATGAGGGAATAAAAGGAAGAAAAAAAAAATATATATATATATATAAACGAAAAGAAAAATGAAAAAGAAGAAACTTTGTAGCGAGTAAATTAATGCAATAACGTCTTTTTGAAAGTATATTATCGATCGATCATAAGGATCCTCCTAAAATACCCTTTTAAAATTCTATTCGAACCGGAAACGAGAGAAGGGAAAGGGTTTGAAAGTGGTTTGAGATTTTTCCCCCCGCAGAGATAAACATGGAAGAAAAAAAGTTACTAGTCCGTAATAATCTGCCATATAACGAGGTATACGTATTAAACATTTACGCATCTTTCGTTCCTAAATGTTCGATCTGCTTGACCGCTGGTGATTGTATCGATATATTTATATTTGGTACGCGTCCCGTCTATTCAGCCCAGGGAAATATGCAATCGAATTACCCGAATTACCTCAAAATAAGGAAAATACAAGAAGAAAAGGATCGAATAAATTCAATTCTTCCTTTGACTGGAAAGAAAAAAAAAAAAAGAAAAAAGAAAAAAAAAAAGAAAACTGAATCTTCGCTTCTAGTTAAAGTAAAAATTGAACGAATCGCGATAGTTTCGAAAGAAAGATTCAGAATCATCTTTTTTTAATTGTCACGAAAAATCGATAGACCGTTGCTGGAAGAATGAATCATCAAACGATCGATATCCGCGTTCATTGGATTCTTCAAGAGCCGTGTTGACTCGTATAAAAGATAATCTTGCGGTAAAATTTGTGCGAAGCCGACCGAAATAGTTATCACCGACATAAATTCCATGAAATAAACGCTAGCTGGGTATATACACTGTATATACATATATATATACATATGAATGTACGTATTATATACGTGTGTACAACACAGCCAACGAGCAGGCAACGTGCACTCTATAACGATACTAATTCGATTGCAAATTCACCACTCGAGGACACTGATAAATGCGTGCTAGTGAATCACGCGTTCCATAACCGTCATTGGCGGGGATTAATTTCACTTCCGGTTACGCGATTCAGGCCGCCATTTGAAACGCGTCGTTATTCACAAGATGGCGGTGTTCTCCGCGGCCGAGACGGGACGCGGTACGACCAGGGACAGGTTTTTCCAATTTCCACGGACGAATCTTCGTATTTATTATTAACGCATCCAGAGGAATGGTTCGTTAGTTAAAATGAAAAAAGTAAAAAAAAAAAAAAAAACCGAAAAAAAAGAAGAAGAAGAAGAAGGAAGAGGAGGAGGGAGAAGGAAGGGAAGAGGAAGTAAATAAAATAAAAAATAAATTATAATACCATTACGAGAAGCTTAAAATATCGACCATCCACACAAGGATAAAAGTATCACATGTATTCCCCGGTTAATCGATATAGTGAATAATAGCGTTTACTTTTTGAATGTGTTCCGCTTCAAGTGAGTCACGGCTCTCTTTCTTTACGTCTAATCTTACTGGAGGGCAGGATAGTCGTTTTTAAATGGAGAAAAAAAAATAATAATAATATGCGGAAAAAAAGTAATAATAATTATAAATAATAACTGCAGAAATAGAGCGTGCGCGCGACCGATCGACATTGTTCTCTCTCGACGATTTTTCCTTCCTTGCCGTAATAAACGATACTGTAGGCGAAACTAAACCCATCCCAAAAAAAAAAAAAAAAAAAAAGTAAATAATGGTACGACACGATTTCTTAAATATCTCTCAGCTCGAGTATAATTAAAGATGAGAAATATACACGTATACACACAGACACATCGTATGATCGCCAATAAAGGGAACGAAACGGAATAATGGGATATATACAACACGTATACACGCACATAATAAACATTCGTATAAGTCATTCATGCATACAGATACATATACACATACACACATACACATACTTTGATACCCCGCCGTTGTAATGGGCTAACTCACATACGATTAATTATTAAACCACGAGATCCTTGCAAGGAGCGTAGCTAGAAGCGCGAAAGGGTAGCGAGTGTACATAATTAAGGCGACACCTAGGGACTGCAATATCGTAAGAATACTAAAAAAAAAAAAAAAAAAAGAAAAAAAAGAAGAAAAAAATGATACGTTTAACAAACTAACTAATCGTGATAGCTATGAAATAGTTACACGAGGACAATGACGTGACGACGACAGACGTAATTATGTATTGGACGGACGAAACACTATTCGCACGGTGAAAAAGGTGAAAAAATAAAAAATAAAAGCGTTAAGGGGTTGAAAGGGGTTTGGAGGGGTTGAAAAAATGAAAAAAAAAATAAATTTGTAAGGGGTAAACGCGTACGTTTAAGGTATTTTACTCTCTAGGATACGATTAAAGATACGAGCAAAGTGATCTGTTCCTAAACGAAGCATACAAAAAGATGGAGGCAATAGAGAAAAGATGGAGAATGGAGAATAGTGAAAAAAAAGAGGGAGAGAGATGGAGAAATGTATTATAGAAACGAATGGAATAGTGTACGGTTAAGGGGTGAATTGGGGACGATGGAGGGACGATTCAAAATTCAAAATTTTTGATTAATGGGGGACGTGTATGTTGTTTTATTTTTCTTTTTTTTTTTTTTTCTTTTTGATAGGAAAATAATGACGGAGTGCGGTGGGACAAAGAGAAAAAGAGAAAAGAATGAAAACGTTTGTACAGAGATATTCCGGTTATTAAATTTTGTTATACGAGGAAAAAAAAAATGGGAAGAATGGATGGCGCGGTGGATGTTGACGAGAGAATAAATTAAAAAGAAAAAAAAAAAAATAAAATTACAAACGAGAGAGTGAGGGAGAGTGTGAACGAGAGAAATACTACTGACGAGAGAGAGAAAACAAATTTACGAATCATGTGTATTTTCTTCGTAGAAAAAAAAAAAAATTGATATTCAATAGGTCATTACGGAAATATAAACATGAGTATTAAAGAAAAAAAAAAAAACGTGAACTGTATTCGTGAGTGTCATATTTCTAAGGAAGATAGATCCACGGGCGAATGTTTTATAGCAGTTTCCGGCCGAATTTTCACATTTCAGGTTGAATTCAAAAATAGAAAAAAAAAAAAAAGAAAATGAAAAAAAAACACCCACGCGATATATTAGCTGCACTAGAATAAAATAACCGAATTGTGTTTTCAGGAAAATAAGTTTAAACAAAGGGATATAAATCAAGGGTAAGAAATAAAAAATAAAAAAGAGGGAAAAGTTCGTGGCACGAATGAAAAGAGGAAACTGCTTTTGAAACATTGCCCAGCGAAACCAAAGTTCCTACTACGTTTTATAAAGTATATAACTGAACTGCAAAACTTGAATTGTACATAAACGAGGGTTAAGCTAGCACACGATCCACAAATACAATCAGCAATCGAACGACGCTAAGAGACAAGAGGGATGCAGGGTCAATTGATTCCACGTCACGATTCGTTATTATTAATTTATTATTAATATAAAATTTCAACAAATTCGAGAAGATTCACGTAACACGTCCACGCGATACATTCGAGTGGAAGGAAAAAAGAAATAATAATAGTAATAATAATAATCTTGTAATATACCAATCGTCTTTGCAATTTAAAAGACGGGGGACAATTGATCGTGACAGCACAAATAAATGATGAGCATAACGGAACACGCTACGAGAGAGGAAAACGCGTTAATATACATACATAAGACACGTAACACACATGTATACGTACATATACAATTTAATACGAGGAACATTCACAGACATACACGCATATATACATACATTATTATACACGTACACGTACATGAGACACACGCGTACAGTGAAAAAAGGAAATTCAAACACATTAAGTATACAATTAAATTAAGCAGCCGTAGCCTTTAGCTTGAATGTTAGCACCTAGACACACGATGTAACATTAAACTACGTATTTAAAAAAAAATTAAAAAAAAAAATGAAGAACATGAAGTGGAACGGAGAAAAAAAGAATCTTTAGCGGTTAAGCGAACTATCTGTGTAAAATCTAGTAGGTGTCCACAAGAATAAAATAAAAACATATATTGTGGTACAAATCACACAAAGATCGTACCTTCAAGGTCCTGATTGCGCCTCCAACCGAACTCTTTCTTGTACATATAATTTTTTATATGCCGATCTGATTTGTGTATGATTTCTATATATACGAGATATGTATACCGCAATTTATAATATTATTAACACACGATAATCCTATTGTCGAGCGTTTTCAAATAATCCGAAGAATTATCGCTAGTAAAATCAGCTCTTTTTCTTTCTTCTTTAATTCACCGCCCTCTGTGTTTAACAATGATGTTTTATATATATATATATATATGTATATATATTATATATATATACATATAAAATACTTTTAAATACCAACCAAAAATTCTTATGATTTTCTTTTTCTTTTTTTTTTTTTTAATATTACACCATGGAAAACTCGAAGAAACGTTCACATTTGTTACTTCGAATTAACAAAAATATAACGTATCCAGAGGAACGTTTTACAAGAGAAGCATATATTTTCAGTTGTAAAGATTCATTAGTTTCATTTTTGTTAACTCAAAGTTTCGTCGTGTCATTAATTTCGTTGTTTGTAACCAGCTCGAAATCTGGTTTTGATTCTGGAATTGATCCAATGGTTTTTTTGAACCACTCGATCATACCATAACCGATCATTCCAAAACAGAGAATTCCTATGAGGATGTAGAGCTTTATCTCTGTGCACAGGTAAGGACTGTACACATACGTGATCACAGAACCCGTGGATTCCCACAGCCGGAAATTTGAGAAAGCGGCTTCTTCCTTGCCCGGGAATAGTAACCCTGACAAAGCTAAAAATTACAAGAAAATTTGTATTATTATCCATTGAAATGAGAATATTAAAATATTAACAGAGAAAAATAATATCTTCCATTATATTTCTTTAAAAATTTCTATCGTATTTAAAAAAATTAATGGAATAGAATACAAATTCAATATATTTTTGAAAAAAAAAATTATCTACAGTGGGTACAATAAATATCTCATAAAGGTACAATAAAGGTCCGTTTCTGCAATATCGACTTCTTGAACAATTATCTTGCGTCATCTACAATTTACTACGATCAAGATAAAAACTATATTCAACTTTATCGACGAAACGATGCAGTTATATTACCATCAGTTAGTACAAAAATTATCTTAGTAGCAGTTAACAATATCACACAAAAATTCGTTTGATCGAAAGATGGTAAAAACAAAAATATAAATATTTTCAAAACTCAAATTTTAATTTGTTAGAATTAATATAAAAATAATTTATATTATAATTCTCGTCGCAATTCTTACCGTTTATTTGTACAAGCCACATGGCATCACAAAGACCCCATAATCCAGATATTAAGAAGAATATGAAATTTTGTTCAGGCATAGGTTTCCAGTGCAAAAGAAAAATTAAAACTCCCATGTGAACGCAGAAAGCGAATGCCATCAAAGGCCTTCTTCCTGTTAGTTTCATTATAGATCCTGCACCCAACGCTGCTATAGCGTTCGTCACACCGAAACAGATCATCACATAGCCAATATTATTAATTCCCCATGCACAGGAAACGAACGACTAAAACAAACGACTTGAATATATTAAGAAACGACCAATCAAAATGTGAAAACGTCAAAGCACTCACAGCATTATAATCGGCAAATAAAAATGCTTGCTCCGCCCCGATGAACATTATTATTGGAAGTATAAAAATCTGATTCTTTTCCTTCAAAAGTTTTAACGTCACAACTAGTAGTTTTAATCCTGACTTGCCAGTTGCTGAACCCGTTCTATTTTTATTGTATCTGGGAACAGCATAGAATAATATGACGTTATAGTTTTGAACCAAACATCAATTTTCAAAATTTTTAAATATAGATATTATTCTGTAAAATTTTGACATTATTCGATACGAAATAATTTTCTCAAAATAATGGTACCATTATTCAGAAAATATTGGGCTATTGTAAAAGAAAATTGAATCAAAATATCTTTTCATACCACACGCAGTATTCGAACAAAAAATTCAAAATTGATAGATTCGAACAATTCGATATCCACTTCATCTTTGCTTTTAAATCCAGATTTGTAACGAATTGTCGCGTAATAAAGAATCATATTACATTCGAACCAATATTAATGATTCTCTTTTACCGTGAAAAATAGTATTCGAATCGAGTTTCGATTAATCGTTAGAATTACCGGTTGTAATTTTTCAAACGGAAACAATATTGTACCTGTGCCGCAGCTTAATACACCATCAATTCAGGATTCGCAAATATATCTTTGCGGCACGATTTATGACAGTCGATGCAATAAGCTTTGTCTCGGCTGAAAAGTCGATCATGAATCATCCCACCTCCTCTTCACATTCGTGTATTTTGATTCATATGTGTTGTTGCCGATCGATAATGATCGTTGTTATATAAACGTGCATACAAGATCGATTTTAAATAAGACAATGTACATTTAAAACTTTGCACGTTTGAATATTTGAATATTCGAAGATTTGAGAAATTGAAAATTAAAAAAAAAATGTAAAGATTAAATTAGACTATAAATTAGACTATTATAATTAGTTAAATCAAAGTTATTATATTACCTAGCGAGAGAATCGACTCCGAATGCGACAATTAACGAGGCCACTATCATACAGCATAAATAGATGCCGGAGATTAGATGAATCCTTTTCTCCGATGGCCGTTCCAGGTTCGAGCTGTCATTACTGGCCGAAGTTGCGCCGCAAAATTTGGCACCGCACACTTCCGCTACAACACTAGTATTTAACGTGATATTCGTTGGCACTGCGTCGATTCCATATGAAAGAACTGTGAACCATGAATCAATTGCTGGATCATCACGAATTTAATTCTAAAATTCAAGGAAGTAAGAAGGGCAAAAATTTAATAGAGAAAATAATTTCTACTAATAATTAAAATAGCATCGAATAATACAAATTCATTTTAACATATTGATTAACTACAAAAGAAAAAATGAAGCTTATCAAGAATAATTATCTAATAATGTATCGTATTATTATTAATCAGGATTAATTACATTGGATTTTCATCGAAATAAACTTTTTCAAGAATTCGGAAATAATTAAAATCAGAGAAAATTGTACAATCAAATTAACAAGTTTTAAAATCGTTACATCCATGTGTCCCGTGTGCTTTAATTTACCACAAGATCTACTATCCTACTTCCCTTCGCCGACGGCAGTAACCAAGTAACCCGTACACTATCGGGGATTCCCAGAGGACAACCTGAAATCGAACGATTCCCGACATTCTCGAGAAAGTTTCCCGTGAAATGGAGATGTTCTTTCCTCACGAATCGCGGCGAAAATTTGTAGACGACAACCGTTTTACGATATCGGGATTATAACCTAATCTATCGATAGTTTTCAACCATTCCCATACAGTATTTCTTTCAAACCGTAAGGACCCGTAAAGATTTATCGGGATCTATCGTCGAATCTTTCCTTATCCCTAAACCTCTTTGCTGATCTTTTTATTCGACAGGGAAAAAATCGCTGACCCAGTTGCACTCACAATTCTTCTCAACTAGAACGATTATATCACTTGGGTCTAGGGATTTTTTCTTCTCTAGTATGGTTCCTTTATCCTTAAGCCTTGCATAACGTATGTTACAGAATATCGGAAGTATTCGCGCGTCGACGTATCGATCGAAAATGTTAAAAATTTCAAGGACCTTTGAATTTCGAAAGATCGAGTTGGAAGGCTCGTGAATAACGTTAACCTCTCGTGGGACTCGAGGCGAAACGAACCAATATATACGTTGGATGTCGTTTCGAAGAAGGAAACTGGTAGGTTGCTATCCAATGCTTTTATACGTTTCCATCATTTATTTGTTGGTTTTACGATCGAGAGAAATAAAGAGGGAAGAGTAAAATTTTCGACGTGTTATATCTGTTCAAATAAAGTTATCGAATATCGGCTGTCGGCCGTGATATAGATAGTTTTTAGGTACTGTTTGTTTTACTTAAAGATTCTATATGCATGATGATGCTCACGTTTGAAATACGCATTTTTTCCAATATGATGGAAAAATTTTTACTTCAAATCTACGAACACTGATTAATTCTACGTTTAACGCGGTTTACATGAGGTTTATATAGAATTTCATTTAGATTATTTATTTATTTTAGCATCCTTCGATTAATTAAAT